TCCAGATGGAGAGGGTTGGGGGGCTTGGTCAGGTATGTGGGTCTGAGCTTGGCCAAAGCCAACATGGTGACACATCAGTTCACAAGTGGTGACCAAGCCTTCTTGGGTGGGTGGCAGCCCCAGGGTTGGCCAAGGGTCCAGGGAGCACACCCTCACTCTGCAGGTGAGTCAGAATCAGGCACCATGGAGCCAGGGTTGCACCCTGCTGGGGGCAACAGGAGCCCCTTTTCCTCTCCCCGACACTCAGGGACAAAGTTATCATGCTCTGTGGGTGCCGCTGGGAGGCACTGATGGGAGAGACTGGCCGGCCTTCCCAGGTGAGAGCCAGGCTGCCTCCCTGCATCCTGGCCCAGGGGCGGGTGTGGTCTGGGAGCACAGAGCCAGGTTCCCACCATGGGGCACCTGAGGTTTGTGCCTAGAAGCCTCCTCCTCCTTTGGTTTCCTTTTCCTTTTTGGCCCAAAGTGTTTGGGACAAGTGGCTGCTACCAACAGCTCTCAAGGTGGCCCCACACACCTGAACCAACCACCTCTCCCCAGCCCTCCTGTGCCCATGAAGACTGCTCAGAGGGGGCCCATTAAGAGCTGGACCTTGGACCTTGGTTAAACTGCAAAGGGGGATGCTCTGTCACCCTGCAGACCGTGCAGTTCAGCTGAAGCCACTGGGACCATGGCCTGGGAGCCTGTCTAGGGTGAGGCCACCACACGGAGGGGCCTGATGGTGTGAGGTCGGCCTCTGGATCCCACCACACTGAAGCACTCCCAGAGACCCCTTTCTTCTCTCTAAACCCATCATTTCTGCGCCCTGGACCTTGACCCAGCCCTGCTGTTTTCAAAGATGTGTTTTCCACTCACTCCCAAAGCCAGATCCCAGGAGAAGCTGGTGGTCCCACATCTGCCTGAGTTCTGGCAGCAGCCCACGAGAGTCCATGCTGAGGCAGGTCTGCCCAAGTGGTGGGCCGGCCTGGCCCCCTCATCTCAAAGTGAGTCACCTTTTGCCCCCAGACCCTCTTCCTAGCCTGCCAGATCACCCTTTCCAGCCACACAATCAAGCCCAAATTAGGAACGAGCCCCATGCAGCCCCTCTCCCATACACGATCTCCAAAGTAATCCCTGGAACCCATGATTAGATCTCATATAGCAAAAGTGACTTTGAAGTTAAGGGTTTGGAGACGGGGAGATTATCCTGGACTATCCAGGTGGGCTCACTATCCCACCAAAATTCTCAAGTTGAAACCTAATAACCAATGTGAAAGTATTAGCAGTTGGGGCCTTTGGGATGTGGTTAGGTCATCAGGGTAGAGCTCTCATGAATGGGATTAGCACCTTATAAAGATCCCAGCGGCTGGGCACAGTGGGATGCACCTAGAGTCCCAGCTACTGAGGAGGTTGAGGCGGGAAGATCTCGGGTATGGGAGTGAGCTGTGATTGCACCATCGCACTCCAGCCATGGTGACAGAGCAAGACCCTGTCTCTAAAGTAAATAAACAAGAGAGACCCCAGAGAGCTAGCTCCTTCCACCATGTTAGTTAGAAGTTGCCATACATGAGGACACGTGCCCTCACAAGACATCAAACCTGCCAGCACCTTGATCTTGGACTTCCCAGCCCCCAGAACTGTGAGCAATAAATTTCCATAAAATGCTATAAGCCACCCACTTTTCAGTATTTTTGTTATCGAAGCCCAGGAAGACTAAAACAACCTCTGTGGCACATTTGGGGTGATGTAGGAACACCCAATGTTCCCAGGAATCAGGGAGAGGTAGGAGTCCCAGATCTCTCTATCGAGATCCCCAGAGAGCACCATGTACCCGCCCTGCAGCTGGCAAAGATGTTTATGGAAGTTAGGGGCCTATTGGTTTACAGCAGCTGTTCTCAGCCAGGGGGGATGTGGCACTGTCTTGAGACAGTTTTGGTTGTCATGACAGGGCGTGTGTGGTAGGGGGCGCTACTGCATCACACTGGCACAACATGCTACAGTGTGGGGACAGCCCCCTAACAACAAAGAATCATTTCATCCAAAACATGGATGGGAGCCAGGCGCAGTGACTCATGCCTGTAATCCCAGCACTTTGGGAGGCCGAAGTAGGAGGACTGCTTGAAGCCAGGGGTTTGAGAACAGCCTGGGCAACATGGTGAAACCCCATCTCTACAAAAAAAAAAAGCAAAATATTAGTTGGGCGTGGTGACGCACAACTGTACTCCCAACTACTTGGGGGTCGGAGGTGGGAAGATTGCTTGAGCCCAGGAGGTCGAGGCTGCAGTGGGCTGAGATTGCACTTCACTCCAGCCTGGGTGATAAAGTGAGCTGTCTCAAAAAAAAAAAAAATCAGTTGAGCATGGTGGCGTGCACAATGGTTTGTGTCTATAGTCCCAGCTACCTGAAAGGCTGAGATGGGAAGATGGCTTGACCCCAGGAGACAAAGCTGCAGTGAGCCACTGCACTGTAGCCTGGGTGACAGAGCGAGACTCCATCTCAAAAAAAACAAAGAAAGAAAGAAAAATCCAGACTCTGTGCAATAAGATACCAAATTATAAAGAGGACCCAAGGCCAAGCCAGGCAAGGGTTAATTCATGCACCCCTGCACTTAAAGAATAAACTGTGTTTTAACTACAAACGAGCTTTTCCTTTTTCTCCAGCAGCTACAAGCTCTGGCCTGAAGCAACATTAATCCACTTTGCAGCTCATCCAGCTCACAGATGCTGACTCACTGATCCCCTGTTCCTCCCGCCATAACTACAGCTCTGACATGAGACCAATTTCAGTAACTTTCTCCTGAGAAGGGATCATTGACCATGAACTGGCTTTGGCTGGTTTTCAGAGGCTGCTCACTTACATGCCTTCAGGCCCTGAAAAGATATTTTGACGGATGGGGCCTAATTGTGATGCATTATATTTTATTTTTAATTAATTAATTATTTTTAGATAGAGACAGGCTTTCTCCATGTTGGTCAGGCTGGTCTCAAACTCCCAACCTCAGGTGATCCACCTACCTCAGCCTCCCAAAGTGCTGGGATTACAGGCATGAACCACCTCGACCGCCCCTTATTTTCTTTTTTGAGATGGAGTCTCACTCTGTCACCCAGGCTGGAGTGCAGTCCCATCATCTTGGCTCACCGCAGCCTCCGCCTCCTGAGTTCAAGCAATTCTCCTGCCTAGGCCTTCCAAGTAGCTGGGATTACAGGCACCCGGCACCGTGCCCAGCTAATTTTTATATTCTTAGTAGAGTCAGGGTTTCACCATATTAGCCGGGCTGGTCTCGAACTCCTGACCTCAAGTGATTCACCCACCTCAGTCCCACAAAGTGCTGGGATTATAGGCGTGAACCACTGCACCCAGCCTTGTAATACATTTTAAAGTCTCCACTGCCTCCATCCTACAGCGAACATGGGTCCTATATTACATGCATGTTCGTTCAATATACATGTGTCGGGACCACCTTCATGAATATTCATAGCTCTCCCTGCAACCTGTTGAATATGTATGTTTAGCCAACTCCTTCAGCATACAGCTCCTGCCCCAACCTCTCCTTAGACATGCCTGTCTCTGGTCTCTGCCAGAGGCTTTGCTTTTGAAAGTGGCAGATGGCTACCCTGAAGGCTGAACCCTTTTACAACAAATGAAGTTGCCACAGTGACTTATGCCTGTAATCCCAGCACTTTGGGAGGCCGAGGCGGGTAGATCACTTGAGGTCAGAAGTTCAAGACCAGCCTGGCCACATGGTGAAACCCGTCTCTACTAAAAATATGAAATGGGGCGGGGTGTGGTGGCTCACGCCTATAATTCCAGCACTTTGGAAGGCCGAGGCAGGTAGATCACAAGATCAAGAGATCGAGACCATCCTGGTCAACAAGGTGAAACCCCGTCTCTACTAAAAATACAAAAGTTAGCTGGGCATGGTGGTGCGTGCCTGTAGTCCCAGCTACTTGGGAGGCTGAGGCAGAAGAATTGCTTGAATCCAGGAGGCAGAGGTTGTGGTGAGCCAAGATCGTGCCATTGCACTCCAGTCTGGGTAACAACAGCGAAACTCCATCTCAAAATAAAAACAAAAAACAAAAAACGAAATGAACCAGATGTGATGGCCTGTAATCCCAGCTACTCAGGAGGCTGAGGCAGGAGAATCACTTGAACCTGGGAGGCAGATGTTGCAGGGAGCTGAGATCGTGCCACTGCACTCCAGTCTGGGCAACAGAGTGAGACTCTGTCTCAAAGGAAAAGAAAACAAAAAAAAAAGAAAGTCGGGGGATATGGGCAGAGCTTCAGGAAGAAGAGCTAAGGAACGCCAGGCTGAATACCTCAGTGATGGGTTGATCTGTGCAGCAAACCACCAAGACACATGTTTATCTATGTAACAAGCCTGCACATCCCTGCATATGGACCCCTGAACTTAAAAGTTGCAGGGAAAAAAAAGAAAGTCTTGTTGGGCACAGTGGCTCACACCTGTAATCCCAGCACTTTGGGAGGCCGGAGAGGGAGGATAGCTTGAGACCAGGAATTCAAGATCAGCCTGAGCAACACAGCAAGACTCTGTCGCTACAAAAAATTTTAAAAATTGGCCAGGTATGGTGTTGCACTCGTGTAGTCCCAGCTACTTGGAGGCTGAGGCAGGAGGATGGCTTGAGCCCAGGAGGTTGAGGGTGCAGTGAGCCATGATTGAACCACTGCCTGAATGACAGAGCAAGACTCTGTCTCAAAAAAAAAGAAAGAAAGAAAGAAAAGAAGAAAGAAAAAAAGTCTCCTTTCCAAATTTATAAATTGTGTGATTTTTCAGTTAACCAGCACGCAGGATTGGGGCCAGCCACACTACTGAGATGGGCTGAGCAGAGTGGTGGGCTGTGGGGGTGGGGGTGGTGCTTGCCTCTGTCCAGGGGTGGCCTGGCTGAGGTTTGGCGGGTCAGCGAGCCTCAGTTTCCCCGCCTACATGCAGGTGCAATGTGGAGAACCGTAGGAGCCTGTGCACTGTCCAAGGGTCCCCTCTCATACTCAGAACCATGGAATCAGGCCACGGTCCGCCTCTTCTTTAATCTTGGACTGGAGGATATACAGATTGAAAGGGTGGGAGAGTGGCCTGGGCAAGAAGTCCTCGAAGGGATTGAGGGGCCAGTTCAGGGCCACCAGGAGCTCTGGGAAAGGAGGTCAGGGAGGAGGCTCAGTCTCCCATCTTGCCAACTGGTCTCTGCCACCTCTTCCACGCTCAGCTGAACTCCCCTGCCAGGGGTCCAGATCCTACCAGAGTACTGGGTCCCTCAGCCACATCCGGCCTGGACGCAGGACCCATGAGGGGACAGGACCTCGGCTCTGGGCAGAACAGTGTCTTAGTAGCCTGCGGCCTCCCCACCCTTCCTCAGGTCCGAGATGGCATACACACAGGCCCCCTCCTGGGACACAGCCTGGACCACGTTCAAGAAGAAGCGCCTCTGGGTCTGGTTCTGGCCGCGGTCTTGGAGTCCCCTCTGCACCTCCTGGAGAGGAGAGAAAGCAGGTTCATAGGAGAGGGCAGCTCAGCCTGTCTCCAGAAGAGAGAGGCCTCTGCAAGAAATGACAAAAACCATAAAGGCAAGGCTGAGGGGAAGCGGGCCTGAGGACACAGATGGGAGCGTGGATGAGAGCCAAAGGCCGGCAGAGGAGAAGCTCAGCCTCCAGGGATGAGGCACGGAGGACACCACCCCAGCCCAAAGTTCATGTCTGTCCTCGATCCAATGACACCAGGGCCTTGAAGTGCAAACCTGACTTCAGGGGGCTTTCAATGGAGGATGTGGCTTCTCAAGACTTAGACACTGAGGCCTGACGCAGTGGCTCACACCTGTAATCTCAACACTTTGGGAGGCTGAGGAGGGAGGATCACTTGAGGCCAGGAGTTTGAGATCAGCCTGGGCAACACAGCAAGATCCTGTCTCTCAAAAAAAAAGAAAAGCCAAGCGTGGTGATACATACCTATAGTCTCGGCCACTTGGGAGCCAAGGCAGGAGAATCACTTGAGGCCAGGAGTTTGAGAACAGCCAGAGCAACAAAGCAAGACATTGTCTCTACAAGAAAATCAAAAATTGGGCTAGGCGTGGTGGCTCACACCTGTAATCCCAGATTTTTGGGAGGCCAAGGCAGGAGGATCTTTTGAGCTCAGGAGTTTGAGACCAGCCTGGGCAACACAGCGAGATCGCATCTTTATTAAAAACAAATTTTTTTTTAAGAAAATAAGAAGTAGTTGGGTGTGGTGGTGCTGTGCCTGTAGTCCCAGCTACTCAGGAGGCTGAGGCAGGAGGATCCCTTAAGCCTAGCAGTTTGAGGCTGCAGTGAGCCTTGATTGTGACACAGAACTCCAACCTGGGCAACAGAGCAAGACTGAAACCGCCTTTGCAAAATTATGACTCAGATAGTGAAAGAGATCTGACTTAACTGACTCCATCTTGAGTCTAACCTACAAGCTATCCTTGTTCATTCCTGGGCGTAGTCTGAACTAACTTTGGGAGAAACTTCATTTATAGTTTAAACAAAGACGGTAACAGCCCTTTCCCAAAGCAGACTTCCTACTTGCCTAGGGACCAGATTGCCTTTAAGACTAACATTAGCCTTAAGATTAGAAATTATGGTTTAGGAGTCATGCAGCTGAAGGTTACAAGATTCTGACCCTCCCTAAACTGCTACTAAGATTAGTGCTTGAGATATTTTGCAGACCCTGCACTTGATGGGATCAGCTGGCCCCATCCAGTTTGATTAACTGGCTCATCTAAACTTGTGCCCCTGACCCAGAAACCGACAGCACAAGAAGACAGCTTCAACTCCGTATGATTTTATGATTTCCTGGGTTTTGGAGGGTTTTTGTTTTTGAGATGGAGTCTCGCTCTGTCACCCATGTTGAAGTGCAGTGGTGCGATCTCAGCTCACTGCAACTTCTGCCTCCCAGGTTCAAGTGATTTTCCTGCCTCAGCCTCCTGAGTAGCTGGAATTAAGAGACATCTGCCACTATGTCCAGCTAATTTTTGTATTTTTAGTGGAGACAGGTTTTCACCATATTGGCCAGGATGGTCTTCTGACCTCAGGTGACTCGCCCACCGCAGCTCCCAAAAGTGCTGGGATTACAGGTGTGAGCCACTGCACCCAGCCAACTCCGTATGATTTCATCCCTGACCAATCAGCACTCCTGGCTCACTGGCTTCCCCCAACCCACCAAGCTGTCCTTAAAAACACTGCTCTCTGGCCAGGCGCGGTGGTCATGCCTGTAATCCCAGCGCTTTGGGAGGCTGAGGCGGGCAGATCACCTGAGGTCAGGAGTTCAAGACCAGCCTGGCTAACATGGAGAAAACCTGTCTCTACTAAAAATACAAAAATTAACTGGGCGTGGTGGTGTGCACCTATAACCCCAGCTACTCAGAAGGCTGAGACATGGGAATTGCTTGAACCCAGAAGGCAAAGGTTTCAGATCATGCCACTGCACTCCAGCCTGGGCAACAGAGCGAGACTCTGTCTCAAAAAAAAAAAAAAAAAAAAAAAAAATTCTGCTCCCCGAATGCTTGCGTAGGCTGATTTGAGTAATAATAAAACTCCGGTCTCCCGTCCAGCGGGCTCTGTCTGAATTATGCTTTCTCTATTGCAATTCCCCTACCTTGATGAATTGGCTCTGTCCAGGCAGCCAGCAAGGGGAACCCATTGGGCGGTTACAAGACCTTGTCACAAAAAAATGTTTTAAAAAGACCTATGATCTCTGGCCGGGAGCAGTGGGAATAGCTGGGATTATAGGTGGATGCCTGTAATCCCAGCTATTCGGGAGACTGAGGCAGGAGAATCGACTGAACCCTGGAGGCGGAGGTTGCAGTGAGCCGAGATTGCGCCACTGCACTCCAGACTGGTGACAGAGCGAGACTCCGTCTCAAAGAGAAAAAAAAGACCTATGATCTCAACACACTATGTCAAGACCTTAGACACCCAGGAACCCACAAGTTTAGGGCCCTATTGATGGAGAATTCAGCAAGAATAAGGACCTGAGTACCCAAGGAAATTAGACACCTAAGCTAAAAGCACACTCAGCCCGGCATGTGAGACACTCGGGGCGGAGGCCACAGGCTCAGGCCCAAGACCCTAAATTTGTGGACTTTGAGGAAGTCAGAGACCTAAGTAGCCCCTAGCCTTGTGCTTGTTTCTTTTTTATTTATTTATTTATTTGAGACAGAGTCTCGCTCTGTTGCCCAGGCTAGAGTGCAGTGACATGATCTTGGCTCACTGCAACCTCCACCTCCTGGGTTCAAGCAGTCCTGTGCCTCAGCCTCTCAAGTAGCTGGGATTACAGGCACCCGCCACCACACCCGGCTAATTTTTGTATTTTTAGTAGAGATGGGGCTTCACTATCTTGGCCAGGCTGGTCTGGAACTCCTGACCTCAAGTGACCCGCCTGCCTCGGCCTCCCAAAGTGCTGGGATTACAGGTGTGAGCCACTGCACCTGGCCACCTGTGCTTGTTTCAAAGATGCCAAGTACCTTGCCCTGGGTGATGGTCCTCACACACAACCAGTCTATAAAGGGGCAAAAGTCCTAGAGGACAGGGCCCTGAGCCACTAGGGCCCCATGTTTCCAGATACCATTTAAGACTACTGACCTGAGAACTTGGCTGGGCACAGTCACACACGCCTGTGATCCCAGCACTTTGGGAGGCCGAGGCAGGCGGGTCACTTGAGGTCAGGAATTCCAGACCAGCCTGGCCAACGTGGCAAAACCCCATCTCTACTAATAATACAAAAATCAGCCAGGCATGTTGGTATGGGCATGTAATTCCAGCTACTCGGGAGGCTGAGGCAGGAGAATTGCTTGAACCCAGGAGGCAGAGGATGAGCCGAGATCGTGCCACTGTATTCCAGCTGGTGACAGAGTGAAACTGTCTCAACAACAACAAACGAAAGAAAAAAAAAAAAAAAAAAGACTAACGGCCCCAGAACCTTACCCAGCAGGGCCTGAGATTCCAGAGACATCTAGGTACGCAGGCCCTAGTGCTCCGCACTCCTCAAGACCAGGGCCTCTGATCCGAGGTCATCAGGTGATGCCACATGGCCTGAGCTGCTGACAGGGCAAGTGACGTCTTCGGAGCCCTACGTGTTTGGCTGTAAGTTCCCCGTGCCTGACGTAATAATTGCCCACTGTCCTTAGACTTGAAGGCCAAGATCCTCACTGCTGAAGCCAAAGCTGGACTTTCAGTGCTCAGAGACTCCATTTCTCAGAGTCCACTGGCCAGACTCCAAGACCCCCAGGATCAAATACTTTCCTCACCCTAGTCCCTAGGCCTTAGCTGTGAAGGCCCTTAGGGACCCAAAGTCTCCAACCCAGAGTTTAGGATGTACTCCGTGGAAAGCCCTAGACCTGAGTAGCTGACATTCCAACTCCCCAAGGGAGCTGAGAACCTTAGCTTTGTGAGTCACTGGATTCCAGGAATCCCAGTCCCCAGACTGTCCTCTCATCTCCCAAATTCTCAGCATTTCAGGTCCTCAGAGTGAAAGGTCCTGAGAATTGATATTTACTAGGACAAAGGTCCTTCAGTCAAGAGTCAAGGGAGGGCTGGGCACAGTGGCTCATGCCTGTAAGTCCAGCACTTTGGGAGGCCAAGGCAGGCAGATCACTTGAGGTTGGAAGTTTGAGACCAGCCTGGCCAACATGGGGAAACCTCGTCTTTACTAAAAATCCATATATTAGCCAGCCATGGTAGCACACGCCTGTAGTCCTAGCTCCTTGGGAGGCTGAGGAGGAAGGATCACTTGAGCCCAGGAGGTCAAGGCTGTAGTGAGCTGTGATCGAAACACTGCACTCCAGCCTGGGCAACAGAGTGAGATGCTGTTTCAAATACATAGTAATATATATATAGAGAGAGTGTAAAAATTTTCACCAATGCCCTAGTGCCCCAGAACAAAATCACTTTACAGACTCCCACAGGAAAAACAACCTATGTTACAAATAAAGTTGCAAATTTAAGTTACAAACCACACAGGGAAAAAGTCACCATGAGGGAGAGTCTGAGAGGCCACAGCCAGGAAAACTCACTTCTGAAAAATGGCATAAACCACAGACTAGAGACCAAGGCGCTGAGATCCTTAGCCGGGGAGCAGTGTAGACAACACCCTGCTCTTTGTCTCAGAGGCCACAGAACTGGCCTGGAGGCCATTGATAGCCTTACCCATCAAGGTCCCCGACTCTTATGGCCCCCAAAGCTGAAGTGTACCTGGCCTAAGAATCTCAGTGACTGAATTCCTCCCAGGTGGCTTTGAGCGGCATGGACTTGGGGGGTGGGCTTGGCCCTAGGCATCCAGCTCGGACCTCAACCTCACCTGGCTGAAGTTGGGCTCATACTCCACACAGCCCTTGCTGTTGACATGCAGGATGGGGGCTGTGATGGCCGCTCTCAGGTCAAAGCCAAGCCACAGCTTGTTCATGATGGCCTGGGGGAGAGATGAGGGATGCAGGGAGAAAGGGGGTACCCGCTACCCTATATCAGCCCTCACGCCCCCACCCTAGGGAGAATCAGACAGTGTACTGCCCAGAAAGGAGAACTGGAGCCAGGAGCCCCAGACTCACCTGGGCCACGGCAGAGATGATGAGCTCCCCGCCAGACCCACCAATCACTAGCTTCGACCCCTGGGCTTTGTTGATCAAGATGGAGGGCACCATGGAGGACGGGGGACGCTCGCCTGGAACTGGGGGCCAGCACCTTCCAGGAGCTCCACCCATCCTGTCTCCATTCTCTGCTTGAGCAAACAGTGTCTTGGCCAGTGTGGTGACCTATCCAGGGGTTAGCATGCAGCCCCAGCCCAGCCCCCTCCCTTTCTCCCCTGGTGTGGGGGCCCTTGTGGAGCCCAAGTGGGAAGCCTTGTTCTCACCAGGCGAGATGGTGGTGCCGGAGCCCTGGGGGCATCTCTCGCATAGGTCCAGGAGCTCATTGTTGAGGATGATGCCTGTCCGTGGTGAGTACACCATCGCTCCAAAGCTGCAGCCGCGGAGGCAGAGCCTGGGCTGGGGCCCGGGCTCCCACCAGACAATGCCCCACCCACCTTGCAGGACCCCCTCCTTTCACAGCTGCCCTGAAACATGCTGGAGCCACTATTCACTCCCTGGCACCACCCAGGATGGGCCCCCAAACACCCACCTGTGCCCCATATCAGGGCAGCCTTCTGAGCGAGACCACCCAATCCCAGGTAAATCTTGGCTCGGGGCCACCCCAGCAGCAGCTTTTCCAGCCAGAGATGTCGGGGTGGGGGCCCCTTTTGAAATAGAGGAGGAGAAAGAGGGCAAAAGCAAGGTGCTGCCCCACAGGGACAAGTGAGGGGACATGGGGTCGGGAGGGTGCAGGTCTAGGAGAGGAGGAGTGGCCACCCGCCTTCCCCCAAGCCCCACGCACGGTGTGTTGATGGTGCTGGTGGCAGCCACGGCACTGCCATCCTCCCCTAGCACAGACACATGGGAGGTGCCTGTCCCATGGCCCCAAGCCCCGGCCAGGCTGTAGTGGCTGAGCTGGTGGTCCCCCCGGTCATTGATCTGCTGGCGGATGAGCTGGGCCAGGGCCTCCCCCAGCAGGTCCCAGGAGGCATTCTGGGGTGGGTGGGCAGGTGGCAGGGTCAGTGAGGGGCCAGTCGGGGCCCGGAGAACCAAGGGCAGGACGCGCTCAGCCCCATGGGGGCTGTCTCCAGTTTGTCCTTGACCTTGTGGCCAGGCCTCCCTCAAGCCCAGGCTAGGTCTAGACTCTGCCCACCCTCCAGGTCCTTTGAAATATGGTGCCACTCCTACCCCTGACCCCTGTAACTGCCACCCCGGGGTCCCTTTCAGTACTGCCCTGGCCTAAAACCACATACATATCCCTCCAACCTCCCCCGGCCAGGCCCGACCCTCCATTCATGCCAAGTCCTGAACCAGGGAGGAGGGTAGCCCGCCAGCCCCAGCAACCTCAGCAACTTCACCTGGAGCTTCGGGTGGCTTCGAGGGTCCCCCAGCCTCCACCTCTGACCCCTGGCAAACTTGAGCGTCTCCACGAGGTGGTGGTACACGTTCACCCTCCCTTCAGGCCTGGCCACAGACTCTGCTGAGAAGTTGAACCCTAGCGGGGGTTGGGGCACAGGTGGGGGTCATCCTACGTAGTATGTTAAATGTTGACCACCCCCCAGAAAGATCCACTCACATCCTAATTCCCAGAACCGGTGAATATTACCTTATACAGCACTTATTACCTTAAGTGGCAAAGTATGGTAAAGATTTTTTTTTGAGACAGAGTCTTGCTCTGTTGCCCAGGCTGGAGTGCAATGGCGCAATCTCAGCTCACTACAACCTCTGTCTCCCAGGTTCAAGTGATTCTTGTGCCTCAGCCTCCTGAGTAGCTAAGACTATAGGCATTCGCCACCACACCCAGCTAGGTTTTTTTGTATTTTTAGTAGAGACGGGGTTTTGCCATGTTGTTCAGCCTGGTCTTGAATTCCTGGCCTCAAGTGATCTGCCTGCCTTGGCCTCCCAAAGTGCTGGGATTAAGGTGTGAGCCACCATGCCTGGGCTTTTTTGTGTTTTTTTGAGAGGGAATCTTGCTCTGTCACCCAGGCTGGAGTGTGTGGCATGATCTCGGCTCACTGCAATCTCTGCCTCCTGGGTTCAAGTGATTCTCCTGCTTCAGCCTCCCAAGTAGCTGGGACTACAGGTGAGTGCCACTACGCCTGGCTAATTTTTGTATTTTTAGTAGAGATGCGGTTTCACCATGTTGGCCAGGCTGGTCTTCAACTCCTGACCTCAAGTGATTCACCCGCCTTAGCCTCCCAAAGTACTGGGATTACAGCCGTGAGCCACCAGACCTGGCCCAAGGAGGACATTATCCTGGATTATCTAGATGCTCCCTGAATGTGATCACAGTGTCCTTGTAAGACAGACACATGGAGGAGAGGACACACAGAGCAGAGGAGAAACCAGTATTTCCACAGAGGTAGAGACGAGTGAGGCAGCCACAAGCCAAGGAATGCTGGTGCCACCAGAAGCAGGAAGAGGCTGTGAAAACTGTCAAAATGGAGCTGCGGCCCGGTGGAGTGGCTCATGCCATTAATTCAAGCACTTTGGGAGCCTGGGACTGGCTGGTCACCTGAGGTCGGGAGTTCGAGATCAGTCTCTCCAATATGGTGAAACCCCACCTGGACAAAAATACAGAAATTAGCCGGGCATGATGGCGGGTGCCTGTAATCCCAGCTACTGGGGAGGCTGAGACAGGAGAACAGCTTGAACCTGGGAGGCAGAGGTTGCAGTGAGCCGAGATCACGTTCTTGCACTCCAGCCTGGGCAACAGAGTGAGACTCCATCTCAAAAAAAAAAAAAAAAAAAATACACTCTGAAAAATAGAGCCAAGGAAAGGCCATGAAGAGAGGATTCTCGTGCACAAGTGCCCCGTTCTCCGCCAGGTGCTGTGGCTCATGCCTGTAATCCCAGCATTTTGGGAGGCTGAGGTGAGAGGATTGCTTGAGTCCAGGAGGCTGAGGCTGCAGTGAGCCTTGACAGTGCCATTGCACTCTGGCCCAGGTGACAGAGCAAGACCCTGTCTCAAAAAGAAAACACCTCACAACCTCACACAAAGACCATCACAACCTTATACAAAAAATACTTCTGCAAGGACAGCTGCCCAGCAATGGCCTGTCCAGCTTTAGACTGGTGCCACCCTTACCACTGATCCTAGTAGCCACGGATAATCATTTCAAAACAGTTATATACCGAAGCTAAGCTATGAGGATGCAGAGGCATGAGAATGATATAATGGGCTCTGCGCGGTGGCTCACGCCTGTAATCCCAGCACTTTGGGAGGCCGAGGTGGGTGGATCACCTGAGGCCAGGAGTTTGAGATCAGCCTGGCCAACATGGTGAAACCCCGTCTCTACTAAAAAAAAAAAAAAAATGCAAAACATAGCCTGGCACTCCAGCCTGGGTGACAGAGTAAGACTCCATCTCAAAAAAAAAAGAGAGAGAGAGAGAGAGAGAGAATTATATAATGATATAATTGACTCCCGGGACTCGAGGGGAAAGCTGGGAGGGGGTGAGGGGTAAAAGAATACATACTAGGTACAGCACACACTGCTCAGGTGATGGTGCACCAAGAGCTCAGAAATCGCCACGCACACAGTTTACCCTAGCATGGGTATTCCCACTGTGAGGCCCACTCTGGAATAAACATCATTTTCTTTGAGAGCCTTGTTCTGTTTTTTATTTAGGTCAACGAGGCAAACAAGAGATGCTCCCCTGGAGCCCAAGGGAATGCAGCCCTGTGGACAACTAGATACTGAGCTTCTGGCTTCCAGAGCTCTAAGAGGATGCATTTCTGTTATTTGAAGCCACCAAACTTGTGGTGATTTGTAATGGCAGACACAGGACACTAATATGAATCCAGCGCAGGTAGCCCCAGGCCTCGGCACTGCTGGAACCCCTGACAGGCTGCCTTGGGCTGCGCTGAGCTTCACTCCCTGGGTGCACGCCCCGATGGGCAGCTTACCACCTGCACAGCCCACCTGCTTCTATGTCTGGGACTGGTCACCTAGTGGGAGGAAGACTCTGGATGAATGATGTCACCCCTTCAGCAAAGTCTCATGTATGGACCGAGCCAGAGGCCAGCTTTAAAACCCACCATCCTTGTTTCCACAGCCCTGTCTTTGCATTGTGGGTCTGTGAACCCGGTTTATGGATGAGGAGGCTGAACTAGGACGTGGCTGGGCTTGGAGTCCAGGTTCCCAGGGGGCCAGGGCTCTGGGCAGCGGCTTTACCTCTCAGCACGTTGAGAATGAGGCTGAGAATGGCACCCCCTGCAGGCGATGGCGGTGAGTACAGGGTGTAGTCCCCCAGGGACACCTCCAGGGCGTCCACCACCTCGGGCTGGAAATTGGCCAGGTCCTGCAGTGTCAGCTGGCTCCCTGGGGTGAGAGAGAGGACTCCATGAACAGATGGGGAAACTGAGGCAGGGAGGAATAACCACAGGTGACAGGTCACACAATGGGATTCCACTCATCCTCTAGCCTCGAGGACAAAGGGTGATGATAGGTCTGTAGGCAGCAGCCTCAGGACAGGACCCTTGGAGCCAGATGTGGAGGGGTGGACCAGAGGCAGGGACAGGGAGAGGAAGATGGGAGAGGTAGCTGGCCTTTGAAAGCCTGTAAGGGTGGACAGCTCAGCTGCCCAAGCCCGCCATGACCCTAACCCGCAGGCTCTGCTGTCCAAGGTCCTGGACCACAGGACTCCTTAGGCCAGCCGTGTTAGGTGCATGGCCTCTCGGAGCCCCAGGCACTCCCTCAGGGCCTGGGGAGAAGTCTGCCCTCAACCCCCAGCACCTGGACCTTGGCTCTTTCTCCAGCAGGGACAGGGTATGGGACCTCAGGGAGGCTGACCTTCCTTGGCAATGTCCTCCACCAGCATCCGGCCCAGCCTCCCCGTGTAGAAGACATCTGCGCCCTCTGTGGCCACGGTCTCTAGGGTGGTGGCCAGTGCAGGCCATGGGAGTGGGTCCTGAGGCCTCAGGGGTTCTGTTCCGTTGAAGAAGAGCTGGCTGGGGGGTGGGGGGCAGCCTCAGGGTGGGGCCAGGTCCCAGAGGCAGCCTCACTCCTGCCAGGGCTCTCATGGGTGGAGTCCTCAGGACCCTATAGTGCAGGGCTCCCTGGCCCAGGGTCCCAAGGCACTGGGGTGGACACCGGGGGACAGATTCTCTAGGAGGTGGTGTGCTGACACCACTCACCCTGTTCATGGCCCTGGTCCAGGGAGGACACATTTCCCACCTAGTGTCTGTCATCCCCTCACTCCTGGGAGGGCCTGTCAGTGGGCTGGGTCAGGCGGGTGAGAGTAGCAGTTGAAGCCCTCCTGCCATGCCAGAGAGAGGGAGAAGGAGGCCGGGGCCCCAGGGCAGGTGGCAGAGCCCAAATCCACACCTTGGAGTCCTGTCACTTGGGCAATGAACTCCCCCCAGCCTGACTTCCTGAGTTATTTGCCACATGGACCCAGAAGGGCTATGAAAAGTCTCCTCTGTCCTGGTCTTAAGGTCCCCTGAACCCCCTGAGTGTCCACCCTCCAGTGCAGGAGGGACTGAGGCAGAGCTGGGGTGTGGACTGGGCCCAGACAGGATATGGCCTTGAAACCAGGAGCCCAGGGCCACCCAGTGGGGCTCACCGCAAGGTTGATGCCTGCAGGAAAGGCCGCAGGAAGCTGCTGTGCAGGAACTGGCTGAGGACAGGGGGCACCACATGCCCTCCTCGGAGCAGTGCGATGGTGGGCTGGAACAGCTGCGCCCAGGGCAGGCGGCCATGGCGACGGTGGGCCTCAGCGTAGCCACGGAGCTCCCCAGGCACCCCGATCCACTGGGTCCCTGCATGGCACATCCCAGACCCCCACCCTGTGGCTTCCAGGCCTTCCCACGGGTTTTCCATCACCCCTGCGTGTGGCCCCCCAGCTACAGCAGCCAGTCAGCTTTCTGGAGCCCACACCTAACCACACCCCGCCCTGCTCAAACTATCTGTGGCTCCCCGCAAAGTCCACAGCCAGGCCCATGGGGCCCTGCAGAAGCTGGCCCCAGGTGCCCCACCCTTCCCCACCCTGCCCCGCCCTGCCCCACCAACCCATCTCCACTGAAGCCTCCAGGCCTTTGTCCAGCCTGGTTCTTCTCCCTGTTTCACCTCAAAGAGCCCCTTCCCAAGTGGGGCCTTCCCATTCCCTGCGGTCCATGAGGCGCTGCTCCTTTGGGGGTGTGTGTTGGTCAGTCCTAGTGACCTGGGGGGTGGGAGTGGGGGACTCCCCCATGGGGCCTCACCTGTGCCCAGTGGCAGAGCCTGTGCACACTGGTCCAGCAGGCTCGGAGCGTGGCTGGCTGGCACCGTCTCCCGCGCGTTGATGACCTCCACCTTCCCTGGAATAGGGCAGGGCAGGTGAGTGCTCATGGACCCCACAGACAGCCTCCGGCCTGCTCTAGGCCTCAGTTTCCATCTCTACACTATGAAACGGACTTGGGGCTAACATAGGGACAGAAGTTGACACAAAAGGTGAAGGGGGCAGAGCAGGGGGCCCAAGACCACCCAGAGACTGGCTGGAGAAAATGGGACTGGCTGAAGAAGGGGTTACGCACTGGTGTGCACAAGCCCGTCTTCCCCATGACAGGTCACGTGTGGGCTCACCTGTCGTCACATTGTAGATGGCGAAGATGACCCCTCCGCCCAGGCCCATGCTCTGAGGGTTGACGACGCTGGTGCAGACCAGAGCTGCGATGGCGGCGTCCACGGGGGAGCCCTGCTGCTGGAGGATGGCTCTAGGCGACATGGTACAGAGTCAGTGGTGGGGCTCCCCTCCCTGTCTCCCCGCCAGGCTTGCTCAGCTAGCACTCATTGGCGAGTGGTGATGAAGGTGGCCCATCTACTGCCACCAAACCCCAGGTTAGGTCAGAGAACACAACCAGGCTTCTCCATCAAACCTGGCTGCTCACAGGTCCATAGTACTCTACAGTTGCAAAATGTGATGCCATTTACACTGACCTTTGCCATAGATAAGGGGCTTCTCAGTTTGCAAAGTGCTTCTGTTGCCATGGCTCCCAGCAGCTCATATTCCACAGGCAGAACCAGGCCTAGGCCACCTCTCAGTCACTCACAGTGGCACCAGGAGCCCACCCTGGAACTCCACTCCCCATCTCACTAGGGACACTCTGGCCGTGATTACCTCAAGGCTGGCCTTTGGCAGGTGACCCCAGGATCTTTCCCTGACACTAGGGCATGAGGCTTGGGCTGATGGGCCCCACAACTTCTCCTGGGCCCCTGAGTCTATGAAAATGCTCTGGCTTAGGCTGGGATCATTGGTTCACTCCTGTAATCTCAGCACTTTGGGAAGCCATGGCAGGTGGATCATTTGAGGTCAGGAGTTCAAGACCAGCCTGGCCAACATGGTGAAATCCTGTCTCTACTAAAAATACAAAAAAAGTTAGCTGAAGGCTGGGCGCGGTGGCTCACACCTGTAATCCCAGCACTTTGGGAGGCCGAGGTGGGTGGATCACGAGATCAAGAGATCGAGACCATCCTGGTCAACATGGTGAAACCCTGTCTCTACTAAAAATACAAAAATTAGCTGGGCATGGTGGTGTGTGCCTGTAATCCCAGCTACTCAGGAGGCTGAGGCAGGAGAATTGCCTGAACCCAGGAGGCGGAGGTTGCGGTGAGCCGAGATTGCGCCATTGCACTGCAGCCGGGATAACAAGAGCAAAACTCCGTCTCAAAAAAAAGGAAAAGAAAATAATTAGCTGAATTTGATGGTGAGCACCTGTAATCCTAGCTACTTGGGAGGCTGAGGCAGGAGAATTGCTTGAACCCAGCAGGCGGAGGTTGCAGTGAGAGGAAATCATGCCACTGTACTCCAGTCTGGGCGACAGAGCAAGACTGTCTCAAAAAAAAAAAAGAGGCCAGGCATGGTGGCGCACACCTGTAATCCCAGCACTTTGGGAGGCCGAGGTGGGTGGATCACTAGGTCAGGAGTTCAAGACCAGCCTGGCCAACATGGTGAAATCCTGTCTCTACTAAAATTACAAAAATTAGCTGGGTGTGGCGGCAGGGGCCTATAATCCCAGCTACGCGGGAGGCTGAGGCAGGAGAATCTCTTGAAATGGTATGGCAGAGGTTGCAGTGAACCAAGATCTCGCCATTGCACTCCAGCTTGGGTGAAAGAGCAAAACTCCATCTCAAAGAAAAGAATTGCTCTGGCTTACCCCTCCCCATCTGTCCATGGGCAGAAAGACGTGGGCCCTTCAGCTGTGAGCGGCTGGTCAGCCTGGCCTACATTGTGATGATCCCTGTCCCTGGGGCACAGCACTGCACAGCTCACGGAGGGCAACCTTTTCCCTCACACCCAGGAATCCTCCCCAGGACCTCAAGAAGCCAGCATTTAAACCCCAGTTGTGGATGGCGAAACCAAGGGCCAAAGAGGGAGTGGACATGGGTCCCTACACCCACCCTGTGGGACCTCTGACCGCAGCACCCTTCTTCAGCTCAGGCATCTGTGGCCTGACCTGGCATCTGGACAGAAACCCTCCCCAGCTCCTGAGCCACGTGTCCCTCCCTGGGCCCACATGTAGCACACATGGGCTCCGCAGGGACACACGTCATCTTGGAATGAGAAAGACAGCACAAAGCCAGAAGCAGGAAATAAACAAGTCAGGCATAAACACTAATTTTTAATAAGAATAAAACACCATAAACAAAGCCAAATGACAAACTGAAGAGAAAAAACACTTCAAATTCCCATCCCGGACAAAGTCTTCACCTAACTAAATGGAGTGCGCCCTTGCTCTCCCAACCTGCCTGCTTCCAGCCTAGTCAACCATCTTGGCTTCCAGGGAAAAATGGGGACAATGGTCCAAAGAGGGCACAGACCCGGGTCCCTGCACCCACCTCCCCAACCCTGCCAGGCTTTGGTTTTCCTCCCACCTCCCTGGTCCCATGATTTTTGGGGTCCCAGGTTTGGTTCTTGGTCCTTATGCATCTATATCTTCTCCCTGGGCGAGCCCATCCAGGCTCACGGCAGGAGATGCAACCTGTGTGCCGATAACTCCCCAGCTTTATCTCCAGCCAATCCTCTCCCTACACTCCAGGTGCTTATCCCCAGCTATGCACAAGACACCTGCTCAGGGTATCTAAGATACATTTCAAACACATCGTGATCTAAACTGCACTTCTGATTTTCCTTCCAACCTCCCCACGAAATGGCTCCTCTGCTAGTCCTTACTGACTTAGAAATGGACACAACCACTCCCCCTTTTTGCTCAGTGTCTACACTCTGGAACCATCTTGGATTGGTCACTTCCTTCCCCACATCCAACCCACCAAGTGACTCCATCTCCACCACCTCGGTCCAAGCCACCAACCTCTCTCACCTGGGTTATTGCAATGGCCTCCTACCCAGGCCCCAGTGTCTGCCTTGCTCCCTTACATTTTAACAAAATAATCTGTTAAATGTAAATCAGACTTCACGGTAATGGGAGACTGTAATTCAGACCACACTTCCCACAGAGAACTAGAAAAGCCCAGCAAATAGAAAACGTGTGCTTAACAGCGTAGGAGGCAGAGAAGCACGGGGCTGCAGAGAAGCACGGGGCTGCAGAGAAGCGCGGGGCTGCAGAGAAGCAGGGGGCTGCAGAGAAGCGCGGGACTGCAGAGAAGCACAGGGCTGCAGAGAAGCAGGGGGCTGCAGAGAAGCAGGGGGCTGCAGAGAAGCACGGGGCTGCAGAGAAGCAAGGCTGACATTCCTCTCAAGGCGACGGCCAAGCCTGAGGAGGCTGACAGACTGAGCACTACTCCTTTTTTTCTCTTTTTTTTTTTTTTAGCTTTTTATTTCTATTTTTTTGAGACAGAGTCTTGCTGTGTCACCAGGTGCCAGGCTAGAGTGCAGTGGCATGATCTTGGCTCACTGCAACCTCCGCCTCCCACGTTCAAGCAATTCTCCTGCCTTGGCCTCCCAAGTAGCTAGGACTACAGGCACCCGCCACCATGCCCAGTTAATTTTTGTATTTTTTAGTAGAGACGGGGTTTCACCATGGTTTCCATCTCTTGACCTCCTGATCCCCCCACCTCGGCCTCCCGCAGTGCTGGGATTACAGGCGTGAGCCACCACATCAGGCAAGACAAAACTTTTTAAAGCATCCAGAGGAAAAAAGATATTGCCTTTAGGCTGGCGTTGGGACTGGCTCACACCTGTAATCCCAGCACTTTGGGAAACAGAGGTGGGCAGATCACCTGAAATGAGGAGTTTAAGACCAGCCTAGCCAACACAGCAAAAATCCATCTCTACTAAAAATAGAAAAATTAGCCGGGTGTGGTGATGGACACCTGTAATCCCAGCTACTTGGGAGGCTAAGGCAGAAAAATCACTTGAACCCAGGAGGTAGAGGTTGCAGTGAGCCGAGATCATGCCATTGCACTCCAGCCTGGGTGACAGAGTGAGACTCTGTTTAAAAAAAAAAAAAATGAAATAAAATAAAAAATAACAGTCCAGGCATGGTGGCTCAGGCCTGTAATCCCAGCACTTTGGGAGGCTGAGGCGGGCGGATTGCCTGAGGTCAGGTGTTCCAGATCAGTCTGGCCAACATGGTGAAACCCCGTCTCTATTACAAATACAAAAAAATTAGCCAGGAATGGTGGCATTGACCTGTAATCCCAGCTACTCAGGAGGCTGAGACAGGGGAATTGCTTGAACCAGGGAGATGGAGGTTGCAGTGAGCTGAGATTTCGCCAATGACTGCACTCCAGCCTGGGCAACACAGTGAGACTCTGTCTCAAAAAAAATTAAAATAAAATAAATATGGCCAGGCACAGTGGCTCATGCCTGTAATCCTAGCACTTTGGGAGGCCGAGGCAGATGGATAACCTGAGGTCAGAAGTTCGAGACCAGCCTGACCAACATGAAGAAACCCTGTCTCTACTAAAAATACAAAATTAGCTGGGTGTGGTGGCACATGCCTGTAATCCCAGCTACTTGGGAGGCTGAGGTAGAAGAATCACTTGAACCACAGAGGTGGAGGTTGTGGTGAGCTGAGATCGAGCCATTGTACTCCAGACGAGGCAACAAGAGTGAAACTTTGTCTCAAAAAAAAAAATACAAAAATTAGTTAGGCATGGTGGCTCACACCTGTAATCCCAGCTACTCAGGAGGCTGAGACAGGAGAATTGCTTAAACCCAGGAAGCAGAGGTTACAGTGAGTTGAGATTGTGCCACTGCACTCCAGCCTGGGCAACACAGCGAGACTCTGTCTCAAAAAAAAAAGTGAAAGAATATATATATGTTTATTTTGCCCATGGCACAGCTCTCAGCTCTCAAGAGATCCTTGACTGTGTGCCCAAAGACATTTTTTCACAAAGATATTTTTATAAATAAAAAATAAAGGGTAACAGAAGAGGTAAATCTAAATAAATGTTATTGGTATAAAATTATAGTAGTATAGAAAACAATGATGTCTTGTGAGGTTTAAAATAAACAAAACATACTGAAATATGCATGGGTGAAATTACATATCTGGGATTTGCACTGAAACAATGTTGGGTGGAGGGAGGCAGGAAAGAGTATATATGAAATTAGCCTGGCCAGAAGATTGCTGTTGAAATTGAGTGGATACATGGGGCTTCATTGTACAATTCTCTTTACTTTTTTATCTTTCCTTCTTTTTTTGAGACGGAGTTTCGCTCTTGTTACCCAGGCTGGAGTGCAATGGCGCGATCTCAGCTCACCATGACCTCCGCCTCCTGGGTTCAGGCAATTCTCCTGCCTCAGCCTCCT